CTGAGCCCTAAACCCTAAACCGTAAAGTGCTCCAAAAACTTCGGCATCCGAGGTGCGTCCAGAGGTCGGCTCGGGTCGTCTTCATCCCAGAGGTCGAAGAGCAGAAGCAAGGGCCTCAGGGAGCATAATGTAGGGTAGTAGGGGCCTTAATAAGAATTGGAATAGTCCTTTGGGGGGGGGGGGGGTCCTTAATGATAAGTTTAAGGTTCAGGGTACGACACCCACGTACAATCATGCAAGAACTTACACCGCCCGAAGCCAACACAACCCCATCATACAAGAACTAGTACGCATTAGAACCAGCCCAACAAACTTCGTTCGCAACAAAGCACAACAATGGTACTCATAGCAATTGAAGACAGAAAGGGCTGATCCTCGAGCGAGCTACCGAGCATTCAGAAGGGTCTGCAGATAGGAAGCATCCAACAACGGAAGCATACTGTGTGGCAGCTGCTGACATAGGTGCACTTCGCACATCTTTTCACCGAACCGCGCGCAAATCCAGACTTGATGCTAAACATAATTCGTGAGACAAGGTGCCTTGTGCTTTAAGCCTGCACCTCTAAGTGAAAGTAACTGTATGGATAAGCAAATTCGCTATCTTTTGGCAAATGTTCAGGAACGTGGAATGGGCAGAGCCGACATCAGCTTCCTCGAGAGCCGCCAAGCTTGCTGAGGACTACATCCATTTTCGCCTGCATGCCCTGGACACAAGATTCCAGGTTCCCGAGCCGGCGCGACATGATGGGATCTGGGCCCTGCAGCGCTTCGGCGCGATCCTGATGCTTCTCCAACATCTTCTCGTGCATCTCACGGATCTCGCGCCGCAACTCCGTGATTTTCTCATGCACATTCATGACGTCAGCATCATACTGCGATTGAATCTCGCCCCATGTTGAGGGGTCTTTCGCATTGGCAAACCATACATGCTGGGAGTTGGCTTCGCACTGAATTCGTCGCTTAACACAAGCACATGGGCAATGCTTCCAGCCAGTGTATATGGTAAAGTGTTGCAGTACCAGGCGTGAACGCTCCAGAAGGAATAACCGCTCTCGGTGTTCCCATCCTCGATTGTAGCTCTCGGCCAACACGCCGATCAAGATGTTCATCATTATGATCGACATGCTCACGCCCATGGCGACCAACACAATGTCCACCGGCCATGTCCAATCTGCCTCCCCCTGCGAAAGGATCGTCACATTCCTCATTTCATTCCTGGAGAAGTCGGCCAGGAAACCTAAACGCCACATGATCATCATCGATGACCACCAGCTCATTAGCCCAAAGGAATAGTACATGTGAAGAAATCCGGCAAACCAACAAAACACCACGAAGAAGAAGGGTACAGTTGCCGGAATAGCTTGCAGAATTGGGAGCATGGGCTTCCCAGTGCTCTCAAAACCCTTGAGAGTGTTCAACACCCTGAGCCAGCAGACAAAGCCAGTTATAGCGAATACGAGTCGCAGGTCCTGGCGTTCTGCACAGGCCTTCCAGTCTATCACCAAGGCAGCCAAACTGAAGCCGGTCAGAAATATCCTGAAGGCATCGGCAAGCGTGTCCAGCGAAAGAAAGTAATCACGCAGCTTGCCGTAGACATAGAACCCAAGGCACTGCAGGATCTCTATGACGGCATTTCTTAGCCAAGCCAGAGCTGCGACAATCAGGCATGGCCAAATCATCCACTCCTCAAGCCAATAGTACTCCTTGTTCATGAGGAATGCCAAAGACCAAAAGAGGCACGCCACTAGCAGGTCAAGAGTGAAACTCAGGAAGTGGCCACGGTATGTTTCTCGCCACGCCAAGTTGATGATCGCATGAGCGCCCTTCTCGTCAAAGACACGATCATTCACTCCAGAAGCTAGAACCCAGAGCACCTCAGGGTTGCGATGTAAGCCAGGGAGAACGCAGTGACTTATTTCAATGGGCACTTGCGTGGTGTACTCCAACCTTTGAAACCGATAGGGAAGCAGCTGCTTGAAGAATTCCTCTTCCAGCTCGTGGTCCCTATCCGTAAGGCTTGATCGAACACCTGCTGCCAACTCCATCTCCTTGTGAAACTTATCATCAAAATGGCCCTTTGGCGGCCCCACTGCAACGTTCAGATCGCCATGAGGTAGGTAAGCTGTTTTCCATGCCACACGCTTCTCATTCTTCCAATAGCGAAGTTCACACTTCCGAAAGATGGCGCTGAGGATTTCTTCAGCATCGGGAGTGGCCAAGAATCGTAGGAAATCTTTCAAGTCGATACAGGCGACGACATCCTCGTCGCAGCCTCGCAAGCCCTTGGCGGCAGCAGCAGTCAAGACCGCGTTGTTCGCCTGGAACAGATAGTCAACCCCTCTCCTTTCCTCTTCACCTGCAAACAGATCCGCACCACCCTCGACAAGTAGCCGCACCACCTCCACATGGCAGCCATCGATAGCATCTTTCAGTTCTTGTGGACCGAAATCAACAGCATGTGAGATTTGGGCTTTGGCACTGAGGAGGACTCGGACAACTTCATCGTGTCCTAGGCTAGCAGACACTTGAAGTGCGGTCTTGGTGATACTCATGTCGTCTTGAAACTTCACGGGAGTATCAGGATTGCCCCTCTGTTGTAGCAGATACCGCACTAAATGAGCATGACCAAAATAGCTGGCGTCATACAACAAGGTGACATTTGGCTCGTCGTTGAAGCTGATCACACGGCCCTGGAGATTTGCCTCGTACTCCACCAGCAACCTCATCATTGACAAGTTGCCCTTGGCAACTGTGGCACAAACCGCAGGCCCCTTCCACAGCACGCCTGTGCGACCTGCTTTCATCGAGTACACAGACTGTGCATCAGCTCGGTGGATCATAAGCAGGCGAACGATGTTGGGCTTGTCGAGCTTGACAGCTAAGGTAAGCGGTGTCCCATCAAACTCTTTGGGGCCAAGCTTGTACTTCAACTGGCAGTTGGGGTCTGCCTTGTCCTCCAAAACTTGCTTCACCTCCTGGTAGAGACCCCTGCCAATCAGACATCGACGAAGCCTCCCGTCCAACGAGGGGTCATCGGATGCTGAGAGGTCGGATTGCTCACGAACCAGTGCCACCACGTTGTTGGAGTACATGGCAGCCAAACTACAGCATTCGCTACACACTGTGACGTGAAATTTCGCCGGATATGCAGAGTAGGTTCTGGTCTGCACTATGCTACAGCAACAAAATGCATCTGACAAAGGCAACCAGTGCGAAAACACCAAAAGCTGTGCCCCTCGCTGGTCGAGTTCGGTGAAGGTGCTCTGGAACGCCTGGCGTCGGTATATGGTTAGTTGGCCCAATCTCATATCCAAACACCCTCAAAATACTACAATCATAAATCACAATGATTCAATTGACTGCATAGGTCAACCACAAGTTAAGCAACAAGATAAACTAATCGATTTGGTAAATCAACCAAGTATAATTAGCTAGTTAAGCATAGGTTCACTCATATGATGCCTAGTTCGTCAATTGAAACGACAGGTTATTTAGTGTAGTGTCTCATGAAGTGGCTGGTTTGTGAATTCGTTACTCAGCACGTAATTCGCTAAAAGTTGTCTATTCAATCAGTTGGCTAAGTAGTTACCAGGTTCTTCGGTGAACAGATTACGTGGTCAAAAATCTGATCCCTCGGTTAACTAATAAACTGAATTGGTTAACTTGCCACATTCACATAGCGAGCTCATCTGAGATTAATGGCTAGCCAGCTAGCTAGCTAGCTAGCTAGCTAGCTAGCTAGTTTTTTGGTAACTGGTTAGCTAATTCGATCGTTCGGTAGTCCTTGGTTAGCAAACTAGCTATTCTGTTACTGGGCTGCCCACTTAGATCATGAGTTCATTAGAGAGTTATCTAAACAGTGATTGACAACATGAACTAATTTGTTGACTAGTTGCTTACTCCATGAACCACACAACTGAAGCCACTAATTAATGAATTTACTTACTATTAAATAATATACCAATATACCATTATGTCGATATGTTGCCGTGCATTGCATGTGTATGTATATACATGTATACATATGTGCACCCATCTGCTTCTTGCTTGGCTGCTTGTTTCCCTTACTTAGCTGCCTTTCATAGAGGCCCCCCTTTTTTCTCATGGGCCTCCATATTCGGATCTCTGTTTCAGCGTGACCGTGTTAAGGAAGGGCGGCATGAGGGGCCTGTGATATGGCTGTAGCTCCTCCGATCGTTCCCATCGTAAGAGATAGTGGCGGTGAGGGTGTAATATAGCACTCCTAATACTTAGAATAGGGTTTTGGGGCATATTCTGCCATATTTATAATGAAGAACCCCCCAAATAATATAGGTGATTATTAAGGTCCCTATATTAGAGTTTAAGGCTTATGGTTTGATGATGATGGCAACGGTCGGCACGGCTGTTCGAAACAACAAGGACACCTACTACTGCATGTCCTCGACGGTAGTTCTGTCTAATACCCACACTGCCAATTTCGCGATGGCAAGTAGTATAGGGCACCGCAACATCGCAAGGGCTTGATATAGAGACCTAAACAATTCGAAGCGAGACTCGGGATGTGGTTCGGGCATGGGGTTTATGCATGAGCATGCCAGTGACTGCCAGTGCACCTCCTGCCAAATAGGCGTGAGCGTGTCATTCACCACCTCCGCAAGCGCTTTCCGGTCGGTACCCCAGTCTTGGACTCAGGAATTTCGAAAGCATATGTTTTAATGTAGTGCTCTGAATGTCAAAAACATCTATCGAAATTGTGGTCTCAGTTGATTAACACTGGTATGACAATAAATGCATGCAAGGAGTGCTGGGCCTTGGTGCGATACATTTCGACCACTTGTCCGGAAATTAGAACCGCGCGCACGATACCTCAGGAAGGGCAGAAGTAAGCTGGTCATGACTGTGCCATCTCAACCGCCATGACGGCAATCTCAAGACTGGATGGCCATGAAACTGACATGCTGGCAGAAGGCTGTACACGAGCAACAAGTGCAATCGCATACTAGTCATCACTGGTCGCACCCTCCCATGCAACCGTTCCTGGCATGCCCCATTTCTGACCAAGCCAGATCCCGGAGCAAACAGGCCCCAAGGACATCTCCGTATCAGAAATCTGCCCACTGGGGGTCGCGCAGAACCTGGGATACAAACATTCATGGAACAACTTTACGGCTTCAGGCTTAGGAGGGTACCTAGAGTACCCCCCTTTAGACTTTATACAGCCGACATGACCATTTAGCTTGATAGAGCTACCTTGGCGAGTATGGTACCCTAAACCCTAAACCCTAAACCCTAAACCCAGTCTTCTGCGGCGAGTTCGCGCGATTCCTTCCGGAGAAGTGCCAGCAACTTCGGCTCTGGGTGTCAGGAGTTTGGGGTTGGGCGTTTGGGGTTTAGGGTCGCAAGAAACTTAGGGTTTAGGGTTTAGGGTTTAGGGTTTAGGGTTTAGGGTTTAGGGTTTAGAGTTTAGGGTCGCAAGAAACCTCGGCTGAAGGAATCACGGCCGAAGAAAGGAAAGCGCACAGCTCCCCAAACTTTAAACGAATCCTTCTCAGACCCTTGGCCCTAAACGCAAGATCTAAGCCCTGAAACATAAACCCTTCATCCTAGCTACTAGTTTCAGATTTCACCGTAGAGCGTAAACCCTAAAATCCAGGCCGGCAGTGCCCCACCGTAAAGGGGCAAAGAAGGGCCCTGAATAAATAGAGCGGGGTTTAGGGGTATCCGTAGTTTCATCCTAACGGACTCTCAGGAAAAAAGATTGGTAATTAATAGGCTTCTATATATAGCACACTTTTCACCTTAATAAGATGGAGGTCTGAGCAAGCTTTAAACAGCGTCTGACCTTCTCTGTACATGGGTTACAGCCTTTACGGCCTAAGACCTACGACTCATGCACCAGGGAATTAACAATCTTTTGTGAACCTTTTGCCGTAGAGTCTCTATCTCATTCGACTATAAGAACGACTGTAGAACCCTGGAACCTTATTCTCATTCTTCAAGCCCATGTCTTGACACATAAGTCACAAATCCCTTCTAAAAGCCTGAACCCTGAACCTTTAAACAAATCCGTATAACAAATTTCCACGGCCGGCTCCCCTGCCGGCCCCGGTGACTGTAGCCGTCCCATACAGAGGGAGTAATGTACGAGGCACACCACTGGTAACCAAATCATTTAAGGGCCTTCGGAAGATCTCCGTTCTCATCCTTGTCCAAGCCATGGGGTCAATGGTCTACCATAGGAGCAAAACCGATACTGGCACTCACAAACACGAGAACTGATGATGATTACGGTGCTACTGATAAACCCTAAACCCTAAATTATAAACCCTAAACCCTCCATCTTCAACAGTCTCTCAGATGCAGAGCTGGCTCGGAGCAACCCTTCGGGGGAAGCAAGCCGGGGGGACCCCAAAACCGACGCATGTGAGCCCTTATGAGTTCTTGGAGGTTCATGGGTAGTTATAAGTATGGTTATAAGTCCCTTAGTATGGGTTATAATTATAGTTACCGTACTTATAACCCCATTTATAACTACCCATGAACCTCCAAGTTTGTAAGTGGGCTCGGCAGTTTGCGACCACAGAAAGCCCTGCCAAACCTGTGCTCTAAGGAAGAAACCCAGCTTAGAAACCCTGAAACCTAATTCTGGCAGTACAAAACCAGGACATGCCCCAAAGTCTAGAAAGTACCTATCTTCGAAAGACATGAAGCCCTGAAACCTACAACCCTAAACCTCAAGCCCCGAAGCCCTAAGCCCTAAAAACCTAAACCCTAAACCCAAATCCTTAAACCCCTAAACTCAGAACCCTAAACCCCCCAACTCTGAACCTAAATCCCTAAACCCCTAAACTCTGAACCTAAACCCAAATCCCTAAACTCCTAGAAACCTGAACCTAAAAGGTTCAAAGCCTCAACCCCAAGACCAAAACTGCCCGGGAGCGGATCGCTCAGGCCCATGATCTCCGTGTTAGGGAGGTCGGTGGCCTTCACAACCACCCCGAAGACCTGGGAAATTTCGGGAGGATTTTAGGGTGTCGGGGTTTAAGGGTTTAGGGGTTTAAGGGTTTAGGGTGTAAGGGTTTAAGGGTTTAAGGGTTTAAGGGTTTAAGGGTTTAAGGGTTTAAGGGTTTGAGGGTTTAGGGTTTAAGGGTTAGGGGTTTAAGGGCTTGGGGTGTAAGGGTTTAGGGGTTTAGGGTTTAATGGTTTAGGGTTTAAGGGCTCGTTAAACGAGAAGGCCCTGCTGTTGAGGTGTGTTCGCTGGCACACAATCCAAGCCCATGCTGAAAAAAAGGTTTAGGGTTTAAGGGTTTAGGGTTTAGGGTTTAGGGTTTAAGGGTTTAGGGTTTTGCGGTTTTAGGGTTTAGGAGGGTTTTTAGCGTTTCGACCTCGCGCTCTCGCACTGGGCAGGCAGGGGGACATGAGGTCGGGCTGAGGGTCCATACTTGGAGGTTCAGGGTTTAGGGTTTAGGGTTTAGGGTTTAGGGTTCATGGGTAGTTGTAAGTGGGGTTATAAGTAGGGTAACTATAATAATAACCCATACTAAGGGACTTATAACCATACGTATAACTACCCATGAACCTCCAAGTATGGGGGGGATGTACGGCATTCCTGCGCTTGCTGATGACTTCGGGGTTTAGGGTTTAAGTTTAGGGATGTTCAGGGTTTTTGTTTGAACGACGCTTTTCCATCCTGCGAGAGCCTAAAAAGTGGTAGTTCCACCGGGCGTTCAGGGTTTAGAGGTCAGGGAGCCGGTACGAAGATCTCAGCGGTTTCGACTCTCACAATCGCGCTGGGCAGGGCAGGGAAGGATTCACGACACCTAGCCCACGATCCGAGCTTGATAAAATCACAAGTGCTCCAAAAAAAAGCCTCATGCGGCTGCCCACACCTCAAGCCATTCAAGGCTGAATGTGCGCATTTTGGCGCGCTGAAGGCGTCAGGGCCTTTAGCGGCTCACGGGTTTTGCTTTTCAGTTTTCGGATGTCGGCACCTTGAGGCTTTCTGGGCTAACACGCTGCATCAGCTGCATCCAAGCGGCCTGCTGGATGTAGGTCCTCAGCATGCGATGTGAAGACAGTGACATCAACTCAAAACCCTGAGTTCCAATAC